ATCCCCCCCCCCCCCCCCCCCCCGCCAAGGATGGGGGAGAGAATTAAAGGGGTAAGAGGGAAAAAAAAGGACTCGTGGGTTGAGATAAGGACAATTTAATAACTAAACTACAATAATATTGAAAATAATACTATATACAAATATACAAATGAGTGATACACAGTGATACTGCCCCCCCACCCGATGATCAAGGCTCAGCCTGTTCCCGGCTAATGATCCCGGAGCAGGGAAAGTCCTGAAACCGCACTCATGGAACAGAGATAACAGTCTGAGTGTCCCAGACCGAGAGCCGACCGAGGTGTGGGGGGGAAGGCCTTGGGAGTGTGACCACCTGGAGCGAGACGATCCGGAGCCAAGAGAGATCCGGAAGCCAAAGGGACCTGGAACAAAAAGGGACAATCTTCTGGAGCTCACCTATATACTGGGCATGACGTGTGTGCTATGGAATAGATTAATGGATATTCTAAGTTTCAGTTTGAACCTAAGATCAAATCCTAGGCTAGTGTCCGAGGCTGTGTTCCCTCCCAGCTCCGCCTCCCCTGTCTGCAGGGAGCAGGGAAGCTGAAAGTATCTGACCTTGAGTATCCTGGCAACAACTGTAAACATCACTTTTAATCAGCTTTCTTCTGAGCGCAAATCCAAAACACATCCTTTTGCTAGCTATTATGAAGAAAGTTAACTGTCTCAGCTTAACCCAGGACACATTACCAGTGCTTACATCATGGTTTTGGATAACCTGGATTTTACTACACTCAATACACACAATAATTAGTGGATTAGTAATTACTGGACAAATTTTGGTTTATTAATTCAAAACTCTTTATGTGTGGCAGCCATGTTTCCTGTTCATACCTAGAGAACCAACAATGACCACTTTTATAAAGCAAGCTTGGTTTCTCTGTTCTTAAAACCTTCAGTAGAGCTCTTACAGTGACAATATCCTTATTTAGTTTTCTTATTCCAACCCAACAGCTTTAATGGGAGCCAGAAAGAACAGTGGAATTATAGTTTTATTTAGCAGGATAAGAGTACACAAAATAATGAAAGACAAATATTTAGGAATCTCTTCAGCCAAGTTTTTATTGGAGTAGGATGTGTTCCACAACACTTCATAGCACTTCCATTACATTTCAAATCAGGAGACATCTCCTAAACCAAGGTAGTATTTGATGTGGGAAATACAGAGAAAAATCAATGTAGCGTTCTCTATTGACATTTCTTATATTCAGTGTTTTCATAACAGACTGAGAGGTCAGCAGCCGAAAACTGTTAAATATTCAGCTCACGTTCTCACTACCATCCTAGTAAATGGTAGTGGTATCCATTACTGGAACCAGCAATTTTTATTTGCTCACCTGCTGTTGGTCTTATCAGCAGCCACTGACTGGAACTGGTGCAAATAATTAATTTGTAATAAGTGGTTCTGAGTGTATTTACGTGTATACTGAGAGACAAGTGTATGTCATTATGAGTGATGTAGGCCATATTATCATGAGTGACATAAGTCACTCTCTACACACTCTATTATATTGTTTATCTAATGACTCATGAACCCACTAGAAAAGAGCCTGATCTTTATGAAGATTCACCCTTATTCTCTATATGCTTTTGCATTAAAATGTATACTTGGTATTCTGTACTTACTCAGGATGTCTATTTTTCCTGCTACCATGAATTCCACATTATCCTAGTAGAGTTCTAGTCTTCAGAGTATTTTTCCACTGTGCTAGATTTAAAGTGTACTTTTTTTTTGACTGATTTATACAAACCTTGCCCCACTTCAGTGTGTTTTTAAAATTATTTTAAATTATGTTAATTGTTTACAGCTCAATCTCATAGAATTTAATAGAAGGGTTTTCCTTTTGGTCTTTGGATGACCCTGTGAGATCTTGGCCTCCTAAGGAAAACACAAAAGGGATTGTCCACAGCTATATGTGAGTGATATTTATGAGAGATTTTTTGCTAAAAATTTTGTTAGGTCTGTGGAGTAAGCGCTTAAAAGGCCTATAGCAAATGCTCAGCTTCTGCTCGTGAAAGGGCTTGATAGCTTTTTCTTTATTTTTTTCCTCTTTCCTCTTTTTTAGCTTTTTCCCTTTTGTACATTTTCCTCCCTTTTTTTTCTGTTTACTTTTTTTTTTTTTAACCTTTTATTTTTTTTCCCCCCATCTGTCACCCTGTTTGGAGACAGGCAGCTAATCTAACTTAAACTTCAACCAGAAGACCATTTAAAGACTGGGGTGACAAGAACCCTTTTCCAGATACTTCCAGTGATAAGCCTTCAAAGATAAAGTAGCCTCGTATCATGATTTAACAAAGCAGAAGAAGAGAGTACAAAACTTGTTTGTTGTATTCAGATACATCAGGGATATGTTTACTTGAAGTACTAAAGTATATTTAAAGGGTTACCATGCAGGTGCATTAGGCATTTTTTGTATGTAATACTTCTCATCAGTTTCAACTCTCTCTCTGATACATCTGTTGGTTCCTGACTCTAACTAAAGAAATTTAAAAGTGCATTGTTCAATGCTTTGGCAGTAAGTGTGAACAATGTTTTTCATGCACTGAACCTGGCAATGAGTATTGCTCTATAGCCAGTGATTCATAACATGCAAAATATAAAATTTGTGTTTCATTTTATTGGTCAGATGGGATTAGACTGGAAAACACACCTTGAATATGTAGTATCTCTGTATCTCTTCACAACTGAGATTATGGTTAAAATACTAATCTGACATGGAACTGTCCACTAAACTAAAGCATGTCTGGTAAATTAAACTCCTCACTGGCATTGTTCACTTTTCATTAAGCTAATGATTACATTATTTTAGTGGAGTTCTGCTCTGAATCAGTGTAAGATACATAGCAATCACAGATCCAGAAACATCTGCATGATCACACATGCACATGGCGCAGCTGTATTTTTTTCATTCTTCTGTAATTCTGAGCTGACCTGTTAAGGTTTCTTACCTGTTTGTAGAATGCTCAGTTTTTGCTGTCTTTCTGAGTTGTAAATAGTAAGTCAACAGTCACGTAAGATAAATAGCATTATAAGTGCAAATTACTGTAGTAGTAGTTAAGCAGTCTCATTTCTCGGGCAAATTTTCCACTACTGGTAGCCAAACTACAGGAGTTGCAACTTGTATTGCAACACCACCAGTGCCTTCTGTGTTACGTAAGCCGCAGATTTCAACCAGTGGCTTTCCATTTCTTAACATCCTTATTTTCTGATTCCTCCTTTTACTTTTCTCTTCATCTGCTCTTGTGTAGCATACTTAAAAAGGTCCAGCAATTCTTACACAATAGTAGAAGTGTATGTAATGATACGGTAAGACACCTGTAAAATACTTCTCAAATATTTTAACAAGACCCCTGAAAATCTTGCTAACACACTTATGATTTTACACTTGATCAGATAACCACTTACATCAGTGCTTACTTTTAGATTTTTGAATAGTTCTGTGAAATTCTGCTACTGGCGTATTTGCTTAAATTTTTTTTTTACCTTGCCTGAGCGATACATGAGTGCTCAGCATCTGGAAGAACTCATCTTTAGATTGAAAGCAGAAGGTACCTCTGCTTTTGCCTGTTTCATGTGTTTGGAAATTAGCTGAGCCTGACACTAACAAATCTTTAAAAGGGATATTTGGATTATTAAATATGTATTATCATAATTTCATTTCCAACATGCAAACCTCATTGACTGCAGTGGTTTTAGACACTGATGCTCCATGAAAGTAAAGTACCTGATATTCTCATACTTCCAACACCTAAGGAACACAGTGTACAAACAAGTACCAAAGAAAGCACCAGTTGCCAATGTGCATAAAAAATAGTTTGAAAATATGACAAAAATAATATATTTATGAAAGAATTCTGATACTGTAAGTAATTTGCTCAGCTTAAGAGGCTACTATAGTGTACTGCTTTTTTATTAAGAATGATAATTTTCAATGTATTTTTCATTAGGTGAATAGCAATATGATTTATCCTATAACAAAATACTTTTGCTGACTGCAGCTGAACCAAGGTACAGAAGTAGATTGAAAGTATGTTTTCTCTCCCAAGAAAAGTACCTATTCCTTTGTTGAAAGTAGTTCAGCAAAAAATGTTATAACTGACCCTGAGGAAAAAAAACCTGAATTATTTATGGTGTACAAAATTTCGATTGAAGACTTGTTTGACAAGAAAAGATTTTCTTCCGGTAGATTTTTGTCGTGGGTTAAAGTTAACTTAAAGTTAACTGTTAATTTTTTTTTCTTTTCTCTCCCTCTTCTTCATAAATAGCTAACAACCGGCTGTGCCTCTTTGCTCGTCTGCTGACCTTGGCAGCAGAACAAAACATCGGTCTTATCAGCTTCTCCTGAGCCTAAATCCAAAACACAGCCTCTTGCTAGCTATTTATGAAGAAGGTAGAAGCAGTCAGATTCAAATTCCTAAGAGCCTTTGTTCATTACTATCTGAGTTCATCAGGAGTAAGCAGATGATGCTGACAGTTGAAAATAAAATAGAAATTAGTGCCTCATACACAATTTTTGTGGACTTCTACATAATAATTTGAGATAAAAAGTGTTCTAACTTCTTATTACAAGGTTCTTTATGTATCTGGGGAAAAAAAGCAGGTATAAAATCCTTGTTTCTCATTTTAATCATATCAAACTGCATTTGCACCATACAGTGAGTTTTATTAATCCTAATGTTTAACAGCATGGCCAAGTGCATGTAAACTTATTTATTTTACCACTTAAATATTTTTAGTAAATCTATAGGTAAGAATGAGATACTGATGACAAATATTAGGGTATCATTGTGCTTATCTCTTTTTGTTGAGCTTGTTTTTGTGGTTTTTTTTCTTTTTTTGTAAGCTATATGTAGATAGCTTATCAAATACTGGGAAACCAATGAAGAGAATTTAAGTGTGTTTCCTAAAGGAATGTAGATGGTCAAAATAAAAAAGTAGATTTGGAATTCTTGACATTCATGGCTCATAAACTTGTATTTTATTATATAATCTTTTTTAAAACAGATATGTAATAGTCTTAATACAACATATAGCATACTATAGTGTTAATATGTTAGAATTTCTTTTTTTTTTTTTTAGCTCATAGGCTTCATTAACCTGTTAATATTGTGGGAGGTGATAGGCTAATCAAGAACTCCGTAGCTGTCAGGATTTTGTGTGCCTGTTTCTGGCAGTGTCTGGAGTTTTGGGGATAGACTGAGTTTTAATTGATTTTGAATAAAAAGTTAAATTAATCTCGCCCCTGTCTGCCCTTTGTGTTATTTCCCAATACTGAGATATCCCCTGCCTCCCCAAACAAGGAGATAAGAGAGGTACTTTCACAACCTTTTTAAAGGAATTTTTTTGAAGAAAAAAATATACTCAGGTATTACATTGCAAAACTTAAACAGTGCGAAGTAGATTCTATTGTGTATATCTTTGTGATACACAGCATATTGCCTCAGCATTGTCAGAACCTCTATATATCCATGGTTATCAGTAATTATTCTCTTAGCCTGAAGAAATAGCAGAAATTAATGGTTCACAGTGATGTCTGAAACTTATTATAGAAATGAAATATTGTCAGTTCAGCAGTCAGTTTCTTGTTTTCTGCTAAGTATGTGAGTGATGCAAAATATACAGAATATTGGGTAGATTTGCTTAAAGAAAATAAATATTCTTGATATATATGCAAAAATATGAATAATAATGAAGGAAGTTTCATTTTCACTAACTGGAGAAGTTAGTGTGCGATACAGAAAAAGGCAGCCATCTAATTGAAGGGTGAGTCATAGTATAGTTTGTAAAAAATTAATAGAACAGGAAGGAAGTAGCATTGAATTTGCATACACTTCAATGACAAAATTGGAAAATTGTTTCTAGTTTTTTTAAAAAAATTGGTTGGTTTATTTGTTTATTCTCAGAGAGCCTGTTAGCTTGAGGCAAATTGTGTTGTGCTAACTCACAGTTCTGCAAGTCTGAGTATCACCCTGGAGTTGTTTTAATAAATAGCCACTTGTACAGACTTTTACAACGGGAAAAAATATTTATTACAGTATCAGAATATTTTTCCCATATATTGGTCAGAAATTACTCCCATCATGCTGTTCCTCTGTGTCAGTAGTTGGCAAATATTGACTTACTAATAGTGTACTCTCAGTTCAGTACATACGTGTTTTCTAAGGAATGCACACTTCAATCAACATATGGCTGAATTCCAGCAAAGATTTTAAACATTTCCTTAAGACATCCACAACTATAGCCAAATGCAATTTTATGTTATGTATCATGACCTTTGTTATTATTGCTAAAGTAGACTTAGTAACATAGTGTTGGTGCTTATGCTACTGTTCCCAACTTGTCAGTTTATAAATTTAGGAAAATATGTGTTTTTTCATTACCTTCAAAGTAGAAAGATCTTAATATATGTTCTGTGTATACCTAACTGAAAACATGGGAAAAGACCTTAGTGTAAGTTCTCAAAGAAAATACACACTCTGCAGCCATATGTGATGTTGGTTGTAAAAAAAGACTGACTTTTGGCCTCCTCTCTTCCTGCAGACTGGTGTTTGCGAAACTAAAGCTCTTAATGATAGCCATAGAATACAAGTCGGAAAAACGAGAAAGCAGGTATGTCCAATGTCTGCAAATTTTGTAGTTCTGGAATGCACTGTCAAGAACTTTGTCTGCATTTCTTTCAGGATGAACATAGCCGTTCTTATATTTTTGAAACATTTCAGAATGTGATTAGCATGCCATCACATTATGCCATTTCACATAGCACTGAAAGGCTTTTATTTCTGCTCTATTCTTCTTTCCTAATAATTTGAAATAATTTGAGTCAAAACATTTTGTAGAAGGTGATGGGACAGTGCTACATATGTCCCATCTTCAGAAGTGCAATTCATTTTTACTTAAACAAAAACTGGTTTTGTTCATAGTCTATCTGTTTTAATTGGACGTCCATATTATTTACTGAAAATGGAAAAGTGAAAAACAGATGTGATAGCAAAACTCATTATGGCTATGTGTATTCTCAAAATAATAATTTCATTTAAATGAGTTTGGAAGAACCAATTTAGGTACGACACTGGATAAATAGAAATATAGGATTAACAGTATTTATATGGTATCTGTTCTGACAAAGCTTGCATATATGAATAACATAATGAAACTGGAAAAGATTAATTTAGCCTTGAAATTACCAACTGGCTGACTCTCTTCCTCAACCAAAAAGAAAAAATAATCATTAGTATTAGTATAGATTCCCAGACAGTGTTTCTTGTGGGTTTTTTTGTACAGAAATTCGTAAAAATCTGAGTGAAGACTGGAGTCAATGTTAGCAACTTGTCCAGGAGTGCTTTACATAACAAAAATGTTATAAGTGTGTTCTGCAGCATGTGGAGGGGCACGTAATAAAAATATGACAGTACTGATTCTGAGATGAATTTTATTTTCCTCTGTCAAAAATTATATTTTGTACTGATGTAAATCTGTAATGATACATGTTAGTTCATCTTAATTTTGCTTGCTGATTACCTAAAACTCTTGAGGTCAATTGTTTCTCCTCACAGGAAAACCCGTTCTGTCATTTGAGCTCATGCCACAATTTATGAGGTTTTGAAAGTTTACTTTAATGTTTATTATTATACGTTGTCATTTTTCTTTATTAAATGTGGGGCATTTAACATGGAAAATGCAATGTTCAACTATTTATAAGAATATTTCCATGCCCTATGGTTGTTTTTCCTTGATTCCTTCCTGTGTTATAAAGTGATATGCGAAGTGGTGTATGTACTTTTACTATGCTGATTAAGAATTATTATTTTTTTTAAATTAATAGCAGGGATATTTTTTATGTTTCCAGTTCCCATGGGCTCTTAAAATACTTTTCCATTGAATGATCTCATTCCATATTAGCTAATGTAAAGTAAATGATCTATTATTCTTTTGTCTCTGAACAGTTTAATCTCTTCTAGAAAAAAGAAACATACAATAGTAACAGCAGTGGAACTATATACCAGATTTTGTATTTCCAGTATTAGAAAATATTTGGTTTCTGTTGGTTCTGCTAAGAATTATTGCCCAACTTTAGGTTGTCATTACTTCAGCTGTCATTTACTTACATAAGTGCTAATATTGTAGTCTTTTTCGTTAATAACATGGCTTCCACATAATTCTTTGCACTACCTTCTGTGGGAGTTGGACTGAGTTCTTAATCACAAGGTGATGCAGAGAATCCCACAAAAATCAACACAATGTGATACAATCATATATTCCTTCTTACTTAAAGCCTTGCAGGTAACAGTTCACAATTAAATGATTTGGTAGAAAAGCCTACAAATTTCAGGAAACAGTACTAACAAAGGGATGTTAACAGCTCCATTTTGTGAACACATATGTAGCACAGTAGTATCTCTTGACTTTATTAACCAGTGATAATTTTATATTCACTTTGGTAAATCACAGAGCAATCTGGAACATATCTTTACTGTTCTACTTGTTCCTGTGCTCCTCAATCCAAATACATTAAGTATGTATTTGCGGTATTCTGAGCTGGAGCCTTTTAGTCTAAGCAGAAAAGTAATGGAATAAAACTTCAGTTTCTCACTTCTTAGGTATACTTGCACTTCCTTGCATCTTATCAAATAAAAGGTCGGGAATTGGGATAAAAATTAGAGTAACATCGTTTGCAAGTGCAAGCTGTCTTTGAACAATATAAATTAGTCATTTGCCATTTATGTTTATTGATGTTGACTTTGGAAGTATTTAATTCTACTTCATATCTTACGTTCTGAACTGGTAATTCTTCATAAAGGTGAAGGGGGAACTAGTTATGGTACCCTTTTTCACTCTTTGTGACAGGGACCAACAGTAGATATGTGCTGATTTATTTTGGTTTTATTTATATTAATTCAGATTCACATTATGTGAAACTATTGAGAGGTTTTACATAGTTTACAATTTAGAGCAAGAATAATTAATAAAGATTCAGAACATTATCTAGGTGGCACCCTTTTATTAAGAGCTGGTATTTCCTGACATATCTGACACAGCTTTAGGACCAATATTTTCAGAAGTAGAGGATATTTTCAAAGCATTCTTTCTGCCTAAAGGAAAGGATCTTACTCCCACCAGTTTATTTTTTGTTAATAATCAGAATATCTATACAAGTAAATTAGATATCTGATTTTTCCTTACACAGGGAGTTACCTTTTAAGATTAGTTTCATCTGCCTTTGTCACTTTGCACTCAGAACTAAAGCAATGCAAAGTGAATTCAGAAGTGCGTGCAGCTTGCAAAAGTGGTAAAGTAGGGGCATTCTAGATTTCCTAATCGCCTCTCTAAATGTTCACCTCATTGTTTAGGATAATCCTAGTACCATTTTAAGTCAATGGCAGAATTGTTGTTGACTTCGTCAATATCTTCATTACATGTAGAATGGCATAAATACTCATTTACCTATGCACTTTTTTTCCCTCCAGGAAGTCTCCTAGATCCTTGTTTTCTAAAGGTTTATGATTTACAGCCAAATTCTGTTAACTATGCTATAAGGAATTTGAGATCAATAGAAATTATAAATCATCAGAACTCTATGCAATCTAGTATTAATGTACAAGTTAGCAGTAGCTGAGCTTCCTGCATACATTTGGAGTTTTTCTCCTTTTTTCCTGACTCCTAATAAAGCTACACAAAACAGTAAGCTCACCTTGATAACAAGTTTTGACAATATTAGATTGTTAATTACAATTTTTACAAGATTGCTTAAAAGCAGAATTTAAAAGTTTTCAAGCCTGAATATAGGTAATATAGTCATAAATACAATAAATACAAACTGTAGAAATACAATGCAAACACTGTACAAATAGAATACAAACTATACAATACAAAAAAAGTTTGCAAATAATGAGTGTCTATAGTATGTTTGTTATTTTAGGCAACAGTTTCTCATCAAGATATCTTAAAAATTAATTAAAATAGCCATGATTAGAATTTTATTTACCTTTACATTTATATATTTAATAATGTTTAAACTACTGCCCAGTTATCAAAGAAAGCTCCGAGTTTACAAAACATGACTGAATTTAGTGGTTTTCTGACCAGCTACTAAGGTCTGCACTTTAGTACTTCCTGGTCACAATAAGAGTTAGCTGTTCCTTCATATCTAAATTAGTAACTGAGAACATTATGATCTGTTATTAAGAACAGGAAGCACTTCTTATAGTTTTTGTGTCGCTGATGCAATCCAAATACTTTAGCTTAAAAAATGGTTGGTCTTACTTCATTTGTGGAGAGGTTTTGTTTCTTCTGTAGAAAAAATGCTAAAGGAACATGGAGAACATCAACCTGAAAATGTCCCAGCATAACGTGCTGAATAGATAGCAAAAAATCTGTTCAAAATGCAGACATTCATACTCCTCATCTGAAATCCCTTTTCAAGATATTTTTGCCTTCTTTTTTCCTTTTTTTTTTTTTTCTTTTTTCCACATGAGTGAGCAAGAAGGAAAGCCTAACCAGGATTCTTCCCTCCTGCACCCCATGTTTACTCCTCTTGTTAAATTTTCTCTTTGTCTGTCCATATATTTGTTTTCATTCTCAGCAGAAAAACCTTTGAGCCTTGAAGACTTTTAAATGAAGGGTTTTTTTGCTTTTGCTTTGGTGTCAATTGGTTTCTTATCAAAGTGTTTGATTTGCAATTTTTTTCTTGTCGTTTGCAGAAGCCGAAAGCGGTATGCCCTCTTCGTTACCTTTCCTTCCAACCTCAATCCTACCTCCACTCCTTCTAACTTCAGGACTAATTCCTTGCCAAGAACACAGGAAGATAACATCTTTGTCTATCTTTCTCTGTATATACACACACATATATACATTTATATATATTCATCTGTCTATGTGTGTATATATATATATATATATCTGTGTGTATATTTATATATGAGCCCCCAATTTCAAAGAGAAGAGAGAATAGCATTTTGTCTCTCCATTGGTTCTTGTGACTCACGCACTAACTTCTTTGCAGGAAGTACAAAATAAAACAGTATAAGTTTTTTAGACTTTTTTCCCCCTTGGGGTGTATCAGATTGTTGCATTTTAAAAGCAGACTTTACTGTCAGCATCTCCCCTCCTCTTTTTTCATTTGTACTGTATTGTGACGATGTATATTTCGTCTTTACCAGCCCTTGTGCTGCCATATTGTCTCCATATTCACACCTTCATTAATGTCCTTCTTTCCCCAGAGTCTCCTTCAAAACACATCTTACAATACTGTAGTTCGTCTCCTCTTGTAGTCTCACCTTCCATTAACAACCAAATACCTGACTCAGCATTGCTGGTGCCATTTTGAGCCCAGTTGTTCATAATACAGTACTCATTAAAAGTATTGTACTGTTCCAGTGAAAGTGCCATGGATAGTTTATACTATATGTCACATTCATTTTAATGACATTTATTAAGCTCATTTATGAAGATGTTACTGTGAATGTATTTGTTTCTCAGTTTTGGTTTTTCTTTGGGATTGCATGTTTTGCATTTTCTTTTGGAATACCATGCTGTGAGCCCCTCTCTAGTTTACATTCTATCTTGCTGCTATTGGTTTGAATGAAGTAAATAAGGCATGCTCTTCCATATCGTCTCCGCTCCTCATCTCTTCCCTCTCCCAGCTTTGTTTTTCTAATTGCTTATAGCAGTCTGTCTGTCAGTGGTGCTCTGTAGAGACCCGTTCTCATTGTCCAGACATTTCAATTTCCTTCTTCATCATACTCTTCAAACTTTACTTTTCATGTCTGTTCTGTTGCGTGTGTTGTATGTATTTAATTTTTAGTCATATTCTCCTGTAGTTTCTGAGTAGATATATGAAAAGAGAGGTGGCTTCCTGTCAGTTTGGCGTTATTGACATGATCCAACTGCAGAGAAGTTACTGCAACACTTAGCATCCTCAAGGATCTGCAGTTGTTGCACCTCTACTTCGCTTCTTGCTTTTAAGTATATATTATCTTGTGGTGAAGGCATGTTAACGCTGGCATGATGAGCAATATGAAGAAGTGTTGTACAAAGTGAAGTTGCTTGCTCCCAGAATAAAGTATATTGTGCTGTTTCGTTGTACTGATAATCAAACACTTCTGGAACCAGAATAAATAATTTAATTGTTTCAAAGTGTATTGAATTCACCAGCACTGTTGAACTAGTTTGGACTGTGCCCCAATAAAATACCTTATATGCATCCTTTAGACCATGACTTAGTAGTTGCTATTGTAAAGAACTTAACTCCTGGGAGCAACCTTTTATATGCTTGTAGTAATTAAGCTTTAATATACGATAGCATGTAATGTGCACTGTGTCTTTTGCCTTGTATTCTTTTTAGTGTCTTAACTGAATTTTTCTGTGTCGAGCAATATGGATCTAAATTAATGTCAACGATAGAGCCCAGAAGAAAGAAGCAGTACTTACGAGTTACAATCAGTGTGAAGCTGGTATGCACGCAACTCCCACTGTGGGATTTGTGCACCTACCCTCACACTCCACTTCAAAACATACCCTGAAACAAAAAATATTAATTCAAACTAATTTTGTAATTCTGATTCTATAGTTGTTTGAATGACGTGACACATTTCAAAAGGCCATTATGGTAATAGTGGTGCATTTCATCTGGGCATGGCATGAAACAATTGAGAATAATAGCTGGTTTTACTTAAAAATGTGGTAGCTATAGTCAGTAATACCCTGTAGTCTTGTTTTAGGTAATGTATTGATAGTACTTAAACAATATTATGTCTTCCTGATTATTAGATGATATTGCTACTGTTTTGGTGACATGGGGAATGGTACAGTACATCTACCACAAGGTTTCAAATGGAGTTGTAATAGATTTTGTCATTTGTTTAGTCAAAATTTTTCTGTTTGTGTTTCATTTATTTCAACATTTGATCTTTTATTTTTTAGGCAGGGATGATGGCAGTTACAAGGCCAGCCATAAATCTGAAAAAAAAACCAGTGTGTTACTGAATCAGACAAGTTTCCTTGATGCAGGGATAAACTGTTCAATTGGTCACTGATAATGGGATTAATCTCACCTAAATTTATCAGTCTAAATGTTAAATGTCTAACTCCTTTTAGTTATCCAGACTTAGTCCATGAATGCTAGGGAAGAGAGACAGTTCTTGAAAACAGCTTCCATTGTAAGACAGATGAGGTGAATGTCACCTTTAGTGCTGTCTAAAATGTTATCCTGAAAGTAAGAGCAAACAAGAATAATACATAACTGAGGCTGCTGACAAGGAAAATTTCCTAAAAGAACTCCTCCAGTGTACATCTCTACTGATTGAGCTTATCTATGCCTTCCAGTATTCAGTCTTCATATAGCGCTGCTAAAATGTTGTTGCCCTTGCCTGTTTTCTGTGCTGTACTTGCTGGGCATCTCCACGTGCCTTTATCAGTTCAGTTTTAAAACCTTTACTGCACGTCTTCCATCTTAATAAGATCCCTCGTTTTTTCTCAGAGAAGACTGACAATTACACAAATCCAAGAGTCATCTACTCTATAAATGCTGTGTCTAGATTAAGAGTTCAAAGTTATGCCCATTTACACCTTCAGCAGTAACGGAAGCCTACTCAGTTTCAAGCTGTGCAAAGCAAATTGTGGAGCCATGCCATTTAGTAAGTAGTGTACCAATAAATACATACCAATTTAGTACTTACAGTCTGAACAATGTTCCAGACTCTAAATTTGTTGTTTTTTCAATGTGATTGAGATAGAAGATAGCTGAATATCATAGAAAGCTACAGGAAATATTTTTCATCTTCTATTGAAATTTTTGTATGCTGAAAATTTATTAAAAATAATGTTTTTTCATATTCTAATAACATGAAAAGATATCAGCCATCCATTTTCTAATGCTGTTTCCACCCAAGAAACATAATTTGAGTCCAGCACATATGATGTTTGAAAGCACGAGACAAACGAAAATCAACCAACAACATAAATCAGTGAAAAATAAGTAGTTGGAGGTATTTAGCCGTGCCCCAAAGTGTCAGTTCACAAATTGTTCTTTAGTTCAAACCTCCAACTGTCAGGTTCTCCATTAAATATCTCTAGGTTCAGCAAAACATGGAAAAACTACAGTTAGTAATTAAAAGCTTAGCTCACATTTAATGCTTTAAGGGAAGACATAATGTGTTATTATCTAGGTCACAGTATTGTATTGTGCAGCCAATCATCTGTGCACTCCCAAAAAAGTATTGAGCAATGCTTATATTCTGGGTTAGTTGCAGGTACATAAGAATGGATGAACAGGTATTTACATGTATCTGTATATTACTGAAGGTAGCATGTATAATTAAAACATCAGAAAGTTATAATCCAACAAGTGAGTAAATTGATCAAAATTAACACACTGTCAGAGTTACTAACAGATACCTGTTCTCAGCTGACATATGGAAAAGTCCTCGTGCCCTATCTTAACTTTTCATTGAACAATGAATATGTAAAGAGATCCTTGAGCATTCATCTAGAATTTTTCTGACCATATTTGAATTTTTCTTTCTTTTTTTTTCTTTTTTTTTTTAAAGTGTGCATCTCAGATATGCACTAATTCCCATTTGTGCTTCATCTGCTTATATTTCAGTCAGTCTGGGAACTCAGTTTCAACTGCATAGATGTTACTGTTCCTGATTCTTTCCTGAGCTTTAAGTGTTCAATGTCAGGTTGGATGGGGTTTTGAGCAATCTGTCATAGCGAAAAATATCCCTTACCATGACAGGAAGGTTGGAATTAGATGATCTTTAAAGGTCTCTTCCAACCCAAACAATTTTGATTCGTTCTATAATTCTTGAGAGTACAACTGAATTTGAGGGTGATTTCTACATTTTTGCCCTGTGACGTTTTCATTTCTCTTAGATGCGTAATCTTGCATCTAGTCACCACGTGAATCTTGTTTAGCAAATGGGCTAACCTTTGCTAAATGGGAGATAAGTGTAAAGCAGAGGTTTCCAAACTGCATATTCTGTTCCACAAGTGGCTTACAAATTGTTGCATTATCATAGAGTGATGGAACTGGCCTCTCCTAAGTTCATGCTGGTGAAGTACATAAAATTCCCATTAAATACATTAAATCATAATTAATTTACACATATTCAATTTGTGTGGCTGTAATTGCCATGTTCATGTGTGAAGAAGCAAGGAAGTCAAAAGATAATATTTTTTTTGCAGTGACATGTGACCCCTGCCATGAAAAGCTTTGTCCTGAGGAACTGGAATTGTTAACGAAATTATGACTGCAGGTTTTTTGCACTTACTATTACTTGATTAGTTTCTGAGGTAACCTAAACAAGAATTGTTATAAAATTATAAACGCTGATCAGGATCTTAGAAGCTTTTAAAGTATGTGGCATTCCTTGCTTGATTTCATGAGCTGATTTAGGAGGCAAAAAAAAAAAAAAAAATTATATCTTGTGATAAAAACATATACTTGGAAAAATCAGGGATGCCATTTTTCAACAGCATTTCTTCCAATGCATGACACAGAATGCATATGGATTAGCTATATATATATTGCTCTTAAATGTAATGAGTTTCTGTCCTTTCTTCCCTTTTTTCTACATCTTCCAATATCTGCAAAACTCCCCAGCCTTGGAGATACATAAAAATAAGACACTAGCTGAAGCTTTCTCTCTTAAAACTCCAGTTTACTTTGCCATGTACTTATCTTCTCAACTGTGGGTATATATATATATATATATATATGCATATTTTCATGAGCTGCTTGAACAGATACTTGCATCTCTAAATAACTGATTAATGCATTCTTCTTGGTATGCTCATAAGCCTGTTTTATTTTTGTCTGTCCTCTTTGTTTCCTGTATTCTATTATTTTAATTCAAAACATTTCCCTTCCTGTACATATTATAAGGTGAGTGCTTATCAAAGCATAACTTTAGCTAATGACACTACAGGTCTCATAAGAAATAATCAATTGCTGCTTTAATAAGCAGCATATTTAATAAATCCATATAAACTCAGTAGAAAATGCTCATGATTTTTGCTCTGGTTAAATAGCAGTGTGTATATAAACCCAAAGCTTTATGAGCCTTTCCTGTAACTCTTTGCCAATAGCAGTGATGGGGCAAATTAATTTTTATTCCCAACAGATTTTGCTGCTGGGATCATCCTGCATTATCCGCAATCACATCTATATTTTGTGGCTATAAATACATTGTATTTGTGAAAATAAATATATGTGAATGAAGTATAAGATCTGACAAAAATAAAAGTCTATACCCTGACCCATCTGAATTGATTTCATGTCTCAGAAAAGCTTGAGATACAAAGTCATGCTCACAGTCCATTACATCCTAAATGAAGCCAGTTACTTCTGATTTAAGATTATCTTCACTACCTCTTAGAAGAACTGCTTCATTTACTCAGTTTTGTCAAATTTTAAGTTCTGTGAGGGGGAGTGAACATTTACATGTCTAGTGGTTACCTCAGCTTGTGGAGTTTGGGTTTTTTACTGTTTGGGTATGGTTTATCAATCTCCAAGAATGCAATGAATTAAAAAAAAAAAAAAAAGTTCATCTGTGTAAAGAAATGTGTTCATCTATTTTCACTGAAAAGTTGTAGTACTTCCATGATTAAGGACAAAGAATTAAATAAGGTCACAATAAGTATTTTTCTGACAGAGCAGCACCCATTTGTACCTAAGAAAAATACCAAACCCCCAACCATAATCACTTATTTTAGAAGGAACAGTATAGTAGAAATAAATGAGACTAGCATCTGTGGAAGATTTTTGAGTTTAACAGCTAAATTCCCAGTATAAAGGCAGATTAAGGATTAGCAGACAGGGAAGAGAAAAGGTGGAGACTGAAACACAGATGCAGTTACAGACATGATAGAAAGTTTTATCAAAAACACTGTGTCGAGTTAGTGGCAGAAACATTCTCTCCTAGTTCCTGAGAAGTGACTTATCTAGGCTCATATGGGCTTTCAGGGTTCAGATAGGCCATTCTCAACTTTTTTCTGTGAGTTTGCTGGTAGAGTGTGTGTCTCATCTCCCTGTTAAGGTATCTCTGTAACAGCTAGTAAGTGCTCGGTAGGCTCAAGTGACAAAAGTTTATATAGGGAATCTAAATTTTCCAACCTGATTGTGACTTGAGTGACTGGTTTCATATGAATAAATTTTTGTGGGGTTGTTTGGGTTTTTTCCTGCCTGTTTTGTTCCATTTTAAAACCCGTGAAATTGTATTTTAAAACTGCATTAGGTAAATGTTTTGGTTGCAAATGCAGCTGTTAAACCCAGTCCACTAACAACAGAAGTACCAGATGTGAAGTTTAGCAGTGCAACTTTAATTCATCCCACTTATCTGTGTGCATAATGTAGGCTTTATTTACACCATCACATTCCATTTTTTGCAATACTACTGAACTGTGCTATGGAGATGAACCTGCTGTCTGTGGTGATGACTTCCTTTTTCTGTAGTTCTGCTTTCCTTTTTGTTGCAAAGCTTGAAACTGAATGAAGGAAAAAGAAAGATATCTGGGTAAATGCTGTCTTTGAGATTTAATTTCTGTTTCAGCCTCTGCCACAGAATATCTGTGTGAGAGTGGGCTAATAATTTAAACCAAACCTTTTACAGATGACTTCTGATTGTTTATTATTTTGGGAACCAGTCTGGGCTTTTGGAAATACTGAGCATTCTTACAGCAAAAGTCTCTAGAAGGTGTATATGGACCTATGCAATACTAAATACTTACAAAAATGACCTGTAGGCATCCCAAAACAATAACTACTGTACCTAATAGTGATTTAATCTCTCATCTGTAAAATGGGATAATACTATATCTTCATTCTTCTTGTAAAATAAATTATATATGTGTGAATCTTATGCATACTGTAGTGATGAACACTGCAGAAAAACACGTAAGAAAAATATGATGCTGATTTTAAAAAAAGATAAACTACATGAAGTCATGCCTGGAGTAATGGCAGTAAAACACCACTGAATGATGTTCCAGATTGTGAGAAAAAAGTATTTTGTCACTCTTAAATTAAGAACTGTATCACAATGTCTAGATAATGGGGGCCGAATTATGGCTGCATCACCAACCTTCTAATTCTTAACTCATGAGCACTTTACTTTGCAGCCTACATATTATTTTCATAGGGCCTTCTGGGAATGTGTAATCACACAAAACAATGTGCTCATTATAAAAATTCCAGGTATATTTTTTTGTTGCACTCATTTATTACTAAAGTGTAAATAACAAATAACATCTTGAATAAGAGATCTCCTTAGACCCGTTTTCCCTCTTGACAATAACATGAAAGATTTTTGTCCTTCAAATTTTAGTAATGTATATCTGTTCAGAAATGTGGTTTATTTGTTTTTATATATAAATATATATATACACACACTTCCCTAAAATAAATTTTTGCTAAATCCACAAGCATTTAAATTGCTGATAGTCTTTATTTACTGTAATTTGCATATGTATGCCATTACTACGTTTGGCTTACAAAGGCTAAGCTTTAATAAAAGACGAAAAAGAGAAACCTTTTGACAAGCTTTATTAAGTTTTACCAAGTCAAAAGCTTAGTTGTATTACACATTAATAAAACTTACTGGTGAATATATTAACATCTGTTTCTATCTGTATATTTATGTTAGCTTGGTACTTTGCCAATTACATTACCTAAAATCTAGTGTTAAAGTCTTATGAAAATAAAAAAGATATTTTGCAGAGAGATATGGAGTACTTGACTTTTTGATAGCAGTTTATAATTTCCTTCATCAGATTTAGCTGAGGCTATTCTGTCAGTGTGGTCGGGTTATTTTTGTTCTTCCATGGCTGCACAGCAGTTTTTAAAAAAATTTCTATTCATTTTACGTTTTTTCAGCTATCGTGACTGGTTGTCTTGTACCATTCCCCTTGAGTGTATGTGTGTATTTATTATTTTAAGCAATTATATTATATGTCCAGATAGGGGTCCCATTAACATTTGATTTCACTAGAAATTGGCAAAAATTTGCATCAAGAGGTTTAGCTTCATAAATGATATTTCATATTCCTATTGAACGGTGGTTGCTGGTTCTTCCCTTTTCACCACATTATGAATTTTTCACCCCTTTGCATGACAGAATGAGAAAACTGAAATGCTCAGCTTTGCACATCATGTTTCTAAGAGGCCTTATTATTTTGTGTAGTCTATATTTAATGCAAAACCATAAAAAACCAAGATGCAAACACTTAAATGACATGATTATAGGCAGAGGCATGTGACTATTTCAGACTTAAGCTTTTGTAAAAAGCATGTGAAACTGTTCTTGATTGGAAATGTCAAGGAAGAATGGCTTAAAATTTCCTTTCAGCCTTTTCTAACTAGTGGGTCCCCTATAACAGAACCAAATAAAGCTATTTTGGAACATTCAGTTGAAAGTAATTTAAATTTACGATTTTTTTGTTTTTGTTCTTGTTTCACTGAGCAGTATACTAATCAATCCTGGAAACCATGTCAAGATTCAAGAAGGTACTTTAGGATTCTTCATTGCAAGTGATGCCAAAGAAGTAAAAAGGTAACTAATATATTTTGATCTTTAAATTTAAACAGTATTTAATTCCTGTTTTTTCTAAATATATTTTTTTTGTTATCTGTTTAAAGATTCTCAGAGGGAATTGAGTTGGTACTCTTGTGAACAGACCATCTGTGCATGCCGTTTTCTTAACTACAGTCCTAAATATCAAGGAAAAATGAAATAATTTTACAGCACATGTGAAAAGAGATGAAGAGGCTTTTTTTTTTTCTGAGTTCTACTAGAAAATGCAAAATATTTCAATCTGATTTCTCTGTAATTAATTTGTTTCAGTGGAATTACTTTGAGAGAGGACAGGGATTACAGTTTCAACCGAGTTTCAGATTTAGAGTAGTTCTTATTTACGTAGACTGTAGCAAATATTCAATGGGGGCAAGCTACTGTATTCATTCAGTAATAGGATTAGCAGAATAATATTTTTGTTCTTTTTTATTTACTGGAATTGCATCCTCTATGGCCTCATAATAATAAACCAAACTACAACACTGCACTATATCCCAGCCATTGTACAGAACTTCACTGGTTCGTTGTACTTGGATGTATTAGATTTGATTTGATTGAAAATGGGTTTTATGGTATTGTGGTTAGGACCATATGTGCATACTCTTCTTTGTCAGAGTTATAATATGCTTGGAAAGAATGAAAGAGCAAGGTGAGAAAGTAATTTATAAAATAATTATTCAATGTCTGAAAGATTAAAAAAAAAGGAATATTTGCAGCTGAGTGCTTGCTCAGAATTTGTGTTGTTGGAAATCATGCTATCAAGAATCTGATTTTTGCTTGATGTCCTCCTTGAGGTTTTAACTAAATCCTACGCTTAAAATGATTCGAGTGATAACCTTTACTAAGTCCTAAAATTTTTATTATTAAATTACAGTGAAAATAATATTTAAGCAATGCATGTTTGCCATGAATATTTAAAGAAAGTCAAAACATCATATCAGTGAAGTCACAGAGAACTTGAATTCTGTTCTTATTGGAATAGCTAAAATAGTTTTTGGCTAGGTGAAGCATACCAAACAGCACAGCAGTGCTCCTGTCCTGTCATATTTCTAGCACAGTCTTTGGAGTATTTACATCCAGCATTGCCTCAGGTGTGCTGACTTTCAGCATATAGTTCTTTTCCTCTTTAGTGCTTTTCTCTATTTGAATATACAGAACTGTCTTCACATTCCTTTACTGAGATACTAGCTTTTTTTTTTTTTCATTTATAAGGCATTTTAAACTCTCTTATGAAATTATTTCAGATTGTAAGTAAAAATTACCTGGCATAGCATTTTTAAAAGGGAAAAGTTGACTGTTATTAATGTGTTTAGAGAAAATTTACACATCATTCATCTAGCAGATTTTATCTAATAGCAATGTGAAACAAAATTCCCAATTCTGCCTTGCTTTTTGCAGAAGGCTTTGTTTAGAAACATGCCGCCTCCCTTACCACATTTCTTAGCTGTTCAGTGCAAAGCAAATGATTATCAGATGTGTTTCAGCTAGCAAAACCAAGTATGTAAAGTGTTTATTTCATCCTTTTGAGCTATGATTTGGAGTAAAAAAAAAAAAAGTTCTAAAGTTGAGGTCTTTTGGAGGGGAAAAAAAAAGGATTTTTTAAAAAAGCAAAATTAAACATACTATATACCTGAAATTCAAATTAAATTATTCTGGGTTTGTGTTACATGCTTATGCAGAAATTTCAGTTTCTTCAAGCTAAAACTATTCCTATTTATCAAATATACATTTCACAAAGAAATATCTAGTGCAATGTTCAATTAACTTCTGTGCTAGGACTACTTTGGCATTTTTAGAGTGATAGTTACACACTATAGCTAAATAGCTTCATATAAAATGTTGAGAGTTTAGATATACAAACTATGTAAATTACATCTTTATTTTTCTTTATCCATTTATATATTTAGTACATATTAGTACTAACATCAGAAATCCATATGCTTCAAATCCACTTATGGATAAGACAGTAAAAATGATTTTATTACAGCAGTCACTTCAGGTGTTTGCTCTTGACTTTGCACACAGGATTGAAGGCACTCTTTAGGACATTTGTCCTGCAAGAAACGTGATCTGTAAAAATGACCTGTGTTCGATTTGTGTGATGAAGTTTTGTGAAGGAATATTTGTGATAGTGCATTCATGTTCAATACAGGGGCTTACACATGAATTGGGGAGGAATTGTAAAAATTGGGGGCAGTTTTCTCCTTCTTGCTTATGTCTTGACATCGATGCATGGTGTGGAAAATGTTTTATACTAATTTCCTTGGAGGCAGTTTGCTTTCTTTTTGTTGGAAGATGAATATTTTGAAGACCAGAAACTTCCAGCAGCAAAGTATACAAATGTTCAGAGAAGGCCTTTTAATTTTTCATTCTGCTACCTGGAAATAGTAAGACATTTCACAAAAAAAAGAGTGTTCTTCCATGTTATCTTGATTTTAGAAATGCTATAATAACATTCAATGAGGTCTTACTGCAAACTTAAATTTGTATTCTCTGGTCCATATCTCATATGCTAGACATGCTAACTCTCTCCTGATGGGTCACTGTACCTGGGCCGTTACTCAGAGGTGTAAAATAACTTAGATAAATTAATAACAATTTTAATTAGGTACCTGGTACATATTTCTGAACATTCTCTTTAATGTAGTTCTACATGCGGTGGACACTGCCTACTTAATCTAAAAAGAATTAGTAGTGATCATCCTAGCTGAACTGTCAGAGCCTGTGTATTAATATTGTTTATTTTTCTTTTTATGTTTTGGACTCAATTGCTCTGTTCCAGTGACCTCCATGCTGTTGTAGCAGTCCAACAATCCTAAATCTATGGACAATACTGCTGGCAAAATCCATGGGTGGTTGCAAAGTGGCAGCTTTGGTTCTTACTGCCAATTTGTGTCGAGAAGCGTGCAATGGGAGAGGGTGGGGAAGATAGGCATGGAGCTGACATAACCCTGAATATGGATAAGTACAGGGAAATTTCAGCAGGTTAATAAGTATGTTTAATTTGTTATGCCAGCAAGAATCCTGGGAAACTGACTGTCCAGCTAGAAGTCAGATGTGTGATCCTCATGAAATGTAACACAGCAGCCTTATGTGACATGTTGACTTGACAGGCATGATTCAACTCTCCTGTGGGCAGTCTGATGCATATTTATTAAATTGGAATTTTTCTTTAATCTTGTATAAAGTTAAATGTTTACCCTTTCTCACTTCCTTAGTTCTGCTTATGCTTCATGTAGTGGTGAGCCATTTGATGCAAGAGAAGTTCATAACCAAAATCATTAAATAGAAACCTTGATGGTTCACCTTGTTAACTGCATATTTTTGCTTGAAATTTTGGCTTTCATCTGTTCAAAAACAAAATTGTTTTTCTCTATTCTGATATAAAATACAAAAAAATAGTATGAATTAAGATTATTGTTAGGAACTTACATGTTGATCTCACTGCAATATCTCACTATATCCAAAATTACACCTTAGTTGTGACCAGGCTTAAAAATTGGCCCAGGGTGATAGACAGTCTTTAAAAAAATAAAAAAATAAAAAAAATCCAGTATATCCAATAAGATCACGGAATTCATTATGTGTATTTTTTTGTGACAAAACTAATTGGATGCTCTTTTTTCTAAGATGAAAGACAAATGAACTGATACACTGTGTCATAATTATCATCCCTTCTCCCAATTACTTTTCAAATAAAAGTATATTAAAATAAACAGTAACTTGGAGTCTTATGTTAGAAATTAATGGTCTTGCAGCAACTATTTCCTACTTTAAATGTCTAAACCTTTTCAATGATTAAAGAAAATAAGTGCTGGCATGTTTCATTAATTTGGCACTGCAACAAGATGAAATGTGGGCCTAATTTCATTTGTATGGATTAAGAAATGTGTCAGTTTTTCCCTTCTATCTCTCCAGGGCATTTTTTTACTGCAAGGCCTGTCATGATGACATCACAGATCCCAAAAGGATAAAAAAATGTGGCTGCAAACGGCGTAAGTAATATTTCTATCACTCCCTTCCTTTCCTTTACATGAACTGTTCAGCCTTGAAGAATATCTGTACATGCCATTACATGTTTTACACAGTGATACAGAAAAGCTAAGAAATAAATGCACAGCAACATAGTAAGTGCTATTCACATTTCTGAATTCTGTGTGTTTATTACATTTCACACCACTCACACCTGTTTCTTCATTAAAAAACCCATTAAGGGTCTAAAACTAACACAACCTGAAGAATTAAATCAAGCTAGATTTGATTATGGAGGTTTCTGAGTTAAGAATGAGCTAACAATGAAGTTCTGCTCTCATTCATACCATGCAGAAATCCAGTAATTTCAATAGTTTTTTGTAAAGAACTTTTGTCTATCTTGCTGAACGTGATTCTGTAAAAGAAGAAACTAGGGAATTATATTTCATCATATAACTATAGAAATAAGTTATTATTGGAAAAAAATAGGTTTTACTGGAGGAATGCATTGTCTGGAAGAAATTACATGTTAGTGTCTCTTACATATATCCTTTCAGAAGATTCCATTGCTGTAATGCTAATATTTGGTTTAGTTAAGTTCTTGGGTATGCCTTTTAAATTGTGTGGAAGATTTTGCATGAAGAAATAATTGAGCTTTGGAATTGAGATCAGACTTTGCATCTGTATTTTTATAAATATATAGAAATCAGTATTTTATCTGCATATACTTTGAAAAGGCTTTTTGCAGGAACTAGCACAACCATATTTTGGCCAAAGATGTTTTTAACCCATGGATATTTTTAATACTAATATCAAAAGGATTGAGGGATCCATTTCTCAGTGGATATATGAATATGTTCAGTTCAAAAGTGCTGATCAGGTAAATTGAAATATCTCAGAAGAGTTTGATCATGTTTATTTTACCATTACTTTTAAAAGGGAAAAAACTCCTATTTATAGATCCAGTTATAGTGTTATCAGTGCAGTATCTTAGAGGATGGAAGAAAGCCTAAACTGGACCTTCTCAGCCTTTAAGGGGTGCCTGAAAATAATTTATTTCTTGAAGATAATTTTAAAAATAAAAATACATTACTGAAGTTTTTAAAAAAACTCCTCTCCCCGCAAAAAACAGGAGTGTGGAACAAAGTAGTATAATTGAGAGAAAGCAGCTGAAACACTGAGAGAATATGGTATTTATCCTCCCAGTAGCCACAAGGAGAGCAAAGCACTTGAAAAGCATGTCTGATGTGGAAGGAATGTATGCATTGCCTAACATATTGGAAAAAATTTGTTCAGGAACAATTTATCCATGTGAGAATGTGACCTTTGAACTGCTGCCAAAGCCAATGAGGCTGCTGAGTAAGTTCTGGTAAAGCCAGTTACAGATGCCTCAGGGTGCCTGTAACTTACCAACCAAATCTTTTTTCCAAATTACCCCACAGAAATATGTTACCTGTTTATCTGATTCTGTCAAAAAAGGCATTTCATTTGTATTTTTTTCAACTCCTCCTTCACATACTGTATGCTTTTCACACGATGATTAAAAAAAAAATAATTCCCAAAGACCTGTCATTTTTCATTGAAAACTGTTAGAAGATAGGAATCAGGAATTCACAGTATAAAGGGTAAGAGCCTTTTATTATTGATAAATTAAAATCAATGTAACCTCCTCAGTACTAGGAAACCAGGGAGAAAGCAGAGTAACCTGTGACCCAGCTAACACAATGGATATATTACCAGCAGTAGGAGCATGGAGAGTTGAGAGTGACAACTTCTGTGTGTAGCAGTAGGAAATGTTCCAAATGGCATGATCACATGTATCAGTCCAATAAATGAAAGGATGTTGGACAGATGAAGAAACAAAATGATGGGGTTAGTGAGGCTGAAGGAGGCAGCTGTCAGAGCTGCTGTAGTGAGCACTGAACACTAAGGAGGGAATCATCTGAGTCAGGTGAAAAAAAAAAAAAAACAGTCAGTGAGAGTAAAATTTCCCTTAAATTTCCCTTTAATTTTCTCCCCTCTCCCCCCGTATGACCTCACCCCTCTCCTTGCCTACATACACACACATATGATCACAGGTACCATGTAGCTGGCATCTCTCAGTACAGCTGAGAACAGCTTCCACTTAGGAGCGTGCTCACAATTGTTTGGAATACAATGCTTTGCTTTTAAAGTTCTGTCAATCAGCAAAAAAAAATTAAATGGAAAATTTCAGCAGTAATTAGTGATTTTTGGTCTCAAATTTTGATGTCAATCTTGAGATCTCTTTTATGGGACCTGATTGTTTTAAGAAGTAAATCTTTAGTGTGGTCTATTATTCATGTAAAATGTCTTCACTCTAGCTTTCAAATCACTAGTAACTTTTGAAAATTTTAGTGTGTTATCCATCTGTAAGCTACGCAAATCGTTGGTCTTAAAAATGCAGTGGAACCAAAAAAAAGCATAAATTAAGAAAACTCTTTTCCTATTGAATTAGGAAATTGTCAACAGCTAATATGTCAATTTGATTTTCAAAGACACTGCAAATAGTCACACATGCATTATATGTAGTCCCATATAATAAGTATATCTTTTAATTAGCAAGTGACATAGCAATTACAGGCAGCTGAATGCAGAAAATATGTAAGATTAAATAAAAGGTTGTATGTAAAAGTATTGACACAGTCAGGTGAATTAAATGTGAAGGAATATCTTTACATGGAAAACTTAATTATGGTGACATTAATTAATGCAGCTTCCTGTGATGCTTGAAAACCACATTCTTTAAATAATGCATCTGAGGTTGCACATCAATTTAGATACTGTCTGAACATTAGCTTGTGGTATTGTTGGGGTCTAAATGTGAATCTGACCTACATAGCCATTTGTCCAAACCTGTTAGGCCTAATATTAATAATTCAAGGCAGATCACTACATTTCTGCAAGGACAGGGGTAATTAAAGTAACCTTGCTTTCATTTTGCAGTTTCTTTGCCAACCTTTTCTCCTTACCCATACCACTACCTGAATAACATATGAATGCTGGTGTCACATTGTCCAGAGAAATGCTTGTGTGTAAATTTTATTCACAGATTGTTAATATGGTTTTTTAAATGTTTACAGTCTCTTACCTATTCCATTTAACTCCATTTAGTTCTTGCAGCAAGGGGCCATATACATGTATATATTTATATAAAATGCAGCCACACTGGGATGAAATAACCTAAACTGAATGACCTGCTCCTCCTGTTTCTTTCATTTTGTGCAACAGCTATGGTCTAATTCACGATATATTTTTTCTAGTGACAGTGCTCGCTGTGAATGGTGGGGGTTGAACCCCAGAGGGGACATATCATGTGTACATTGATGTGTTTGAAGGAATTTCTTGTAATCTGTGACAATTGACAAACTTTTGATTTATTTTTCCTCTTGCTGCCTTGGAACACGGCCCCTACTATATTTTAACTGCACACTGATAGTGATCTATTGTGAGTAAAAATGGGTTCCCTGTAGCCCAGAGTGCGGTCCAACCTGTCTTTCTCTAGCAGAAAGTATTTTTGTTCAGTATTTTGGTTCTTTTCTTTATTTATGTTGCATGTAGCAGTGACGTCATACCCACAAGTTTCTCATCGTTTACACCCACGGAGATTAGGGTGACGTTGAAGAAAATACAGCAGTTTTCCCCTCTTCCACCTTTTTGCCCTTTTTTTCCACAACCTTATTTTTTATCCCTATTTGATAATGAGATCTTGGCAATGGCATTTCCTTTAAATTATTCTAGGGATATCTCATGAATTTTTAGGGATATCAGTGAGGCTGGGGTAATTACCACTGTAGCACTGTTTGCCTGGTTAAGTGCAATTCATTGTCAGACCCATGTTCAGTTTTTTTGTACTTTGTCTTTTCCATTGCATAGCTGACACAAAGATCAACACAGCAGTCTTTTAGTGTCCTTGTCTAACTCCTTTCTCCCCATCAGCCACACGCACACACACACACACACAAAAAAAAAAAAAAAAAAAAAAAAAAAAGAACATGAGGGTAAAGCCAGACAATGAATTAAATGTGTGGTGAACTTTTAATGTATTAATCTACTCATATCTTCAACTGGAAACAAGCTACAGTGATTGTTTTCCCCAGCTTGCTTGTTTTGAAATTAATTACATTAGTAGAGACACACTGACTTTTTCAGGGCCTAAGCTGTAAAGTTTTCCTTTATTATTATATATAGAATACAATCCTTATAGACCACTTCATGTCAATCTAAGTCATACCATTTTAACGTGTATAAAATCTATGAAGGCTCTCATCAGCCACTTTTAGTGTGTACAGTCATGATAATTTAAATAAACACTGCATTTGGGACATGGAAAGAATTTGCTGCTTAGAAATAGAAGCACTGAAAATAAATGTATGGGTTATAGGGCAGTGTGGATTATATGGGCTTTTTTTTTTTTCAAACAGCAAGAGTGATCAAATATTTCTTAGCTGCCATGAGGCATTACTGTGCCAGATGGAGGCTGCTAACCATACCATATAACTGCAGCTATTCTAAATGAGTCTATGAGACGTTTTCAACATTTCACCAGATATTCTGAATTTAATTGTGTGGTGACCCTTGAGGTCTTAGTCAGGATTGAGATTTTTTTTTCCCCTCTCAGCTATAAACACTGTAGGATCTTGCAAAGAATCAAGGAAAAGTTGACACTCCTGGAGCTGAATGGTAAGGTGCTAGCTGTCTTGTAATTGTCATGGCCTTCATTGTGGTTATCATTATTTACTATTTATCTTATTCTGGTGCCTGCAAACTATACTAAAGGATTGAGATCCCGTTGTGGTAGAAAGCATTCAAACAGACAACAGAAATTTCACCAAAGATCTCCTTTCAGCCAATAGGATGACACAGCAGAAAGATGAGGCAGCAGAGAAAAGCAGATTGTAAAACCAGGTCAGCATGATAAGAATCAATACTTAATAATAAACCAGAAAGAAACTAATTTCTGTGGATAAAATGATGAATCCTGTTGACTTTGAGGCAAAATACTGGAAGTAATTTGGTTTTATTTGACACATATATTGAGGCCTTTCTGGACCAGAGAAATTAGTTTAAATAATAATAAATAAAAGAGCTCTTCGTGAAAAGAGAATATTAAAAAAGAAAAGGTCATGTAGCTTTGACTTGTTTTCTTCCATTTCCCCAATGGCTTCTGTTTGTTCAGAAATGCTTTGAGAGTACACTGGCTGAGAGTCTTCTTTAAGGTAATGAAGGAAAGGTCATGATCAGATTTGAAAATTCAAATGAATTGGTCTATAAATGTGCCATTACTTCAAAATCCATGAGTCATTCTTATAGCTACTAAAATAGGGCAAAATGTCCATTCAGGTCACCTGCTGTTTCTATAGTTTTGACAAAGAACAGCACTGTATGAGTTTCAGAAAACAACTAACCAATTGCCTTTGATTGCAAAAATGGTAAGAGAGTGAACAAGCTGACTTGGTGGTCTCGAAGTTGTTCTGTAAAAAGTAAATAATGGAGAGATAGCTTTGCCTGTTGTGGTAAGAGAAAATAAATTCTCACAAACAGTGTAAGATATGCTGCTGTATTTTTCAGGAAACTGAAACTGCGCTGGGGGGAAGTCTTTTCAGTATTTCAGTCTCATGATGCTAACCAGCATTGCCAAAAGGCGATCAAATCAGTCTGGTCGTCCTTTAATGCTGCTGTTATTTTACTCATAGTGTAGATCATGAGAACTTGATGAATTGAAATGTCACTGTACGCATTTCAATTCTCAAGTGTAGTGGGACCTTTTTGTACCATTTTCTGGTGAAGAAACCTTCAGTCCATCTTCTTAACCAGCGGTTGTCTCATAGAGATCCACTAGATGTCCTCGTGGATCTACTTTTTGCTACCGTTGGGTCTCAAGCAAAACTGCTGTAGTGGTGGGTGGAATATAAGGACTGGGTAGACTCTATGGTTTAAAAAAAAAAATCAGGAAAGATGAAGGGATACTTTGTTCTGCTTGCCTTAAAAAAAAAGACGCTGTTCCTTCACATGTTAGGTAGAGAATAATCTGCAGTTTCCTTTGCTTATTTCTGCAGCTGGAAATATTTCCCACTACTTTTTGTGAACTCTAAGTGTCACCTCAGATCTAGACAATCTAGAAATTTTAACTGGACTTTTGGGTTTTTGAGATCAGAAAGCAAGGTATTGCTAGAAGCTTAGACATTTAAGGCACATTCTTTCCTTATTTGAATGGAAGGCTATTGCCTTCTGAGAAAAATTGGAACAAAAAAAGTTTTTAAAAGTATTTATTTACTTTTTAAATAATTGACTGAAATTTTGCTTTCCTTTTCCTCTTAAAAAATCAGAAAATTGCTAGTTCATACATGCCTTGTTTTGTTAGTAAATTATTTAAGTAGTCTGATTTCTGTGTCTGTGATAACTTCCCCTGATACTTTTACTAATTCATTTTACAAATGCTATGGGATTGTTATCATAATAAGCAGAAGAACCTGCTCTTCCTTTTTGTCCATTTATTATTCAATTGAAAATAAGGAAATAATTTCCGTCATGTCCCATCTTACATTTTCACTAGTTGCAAATAATAGTTCTAGTCAACGTCCATAACATTTCTATGAGTAGAAATGTGAGTTGATTCTTGTACAGGTGCTACAGGTGTCAAATGAATTTAACACCAAGCCAGAGGCTGTTCATAAGGTCCCCCTATCTCTCTGATGATTCCCATTTTTTTGTTAATGTTTATGGAAGTTTTATAGGAAATGGTGTGTGTGTGTGCGGCTGAACCATTTAAAATCATTTCTGTCTTGTCTTTGATCTTGTCACCAGTCCTCCCGACTAATACTCCGTGTTTTGTTTTATTTAAAAGAAAATAAGTATTGTATTTGGTATGAATGTGACAGTGACTGTATAAAAGGAATGAAGAGTAACAGCATGTTTTCTTTCCGAATTGTATTGCTCTGATGTGCAGTTGCTTATATACTGGTTGAAACACTTATAGCAAGTCCTTTCTGCTACTTACATTTCCAGGTCCAAGCCTGTTTCCTGCATGTTAATGATGTGAAGTATTAAAATGATGCATGATCTCCAGAACAATTGGTCAAAATAGTTAAAAACAGTCCCTGAAAGGGCATTGCTCTTGAGAAGCACCATGGAGTCCTTCCCCTGTTGAACAGAAGGGCTTAAATTGTACAAAAGTTTTCCTTCCCAACCCTCCTTGCCCTGAAGGATGATTTATTTTCATGAATGTGTCCTATCCTATTGACTGTTGACAAGATATGGCTACAACTAAATGAAAAGCAGGGACTGTTACTAACCAGTGACATAGCAGTTGGGAATTGCTGAGCAGTGTGTTTTGCTACAGCATTAGATTCAAAAAAGTCCTTCAAAACAGCTATAATAATAAAACTAAAATGGGCCTGCCTTTTACCTCACCTGCTGTCAGTGCGTCTCACAAATGCCCTTTATTTTTCTTTCGTTTCCTTGAAGTGAAAATAATAAAATAGGCGCAATGGAAAGAATTGCACATTTTTGGTAATATATTTCATTTTTCTGCCCAACTTTTCAATTTTAAAGAATGTGTTGGGAAGAGTTAGAGGGAAACCGTGGGAAAGCAAATGCTGTTTTGAATTTTCTGTGTGGTTTGAGTGTGTATGCATCAAAAACTGCAGTGGAAACCTTCTTACTAAAAGCCAAGCTCTGAGGAATGATGTACCATGCAATGAACGAGCCTGATGCTGCATGATGACTCTCTGAACAGCTGTAAGATAACTCTACTAGGATGCTAAAAGAACATGGCATTAGTCATGTGAGCAAAGTTTTAGACAAATGGAGTCGCTGCTGAAGAGATCACTCATTCATCTCCCTCAATGCCTGTTTTCCACAATCATAATGTTACCCTTGCTTGTCAAGTATACTGTATGGCAAGTCATCAAGGCCTTAGAACAGGACTTGACCCATTTGAATGATTTAGATGCCTCTTCCCTGGTGACTGTGGCATTAAGAAACTGTAAAAAAATTAAGAAATTATTTTAAATTTAATGTCATTACCATAATGTAAAAGATGCATCGTAAACTGAAGGTACAGGCCAGAGAAACATTACCTTTTTTCTGCATTTGCTTTTAAGGTTTTGTTTTTGCCTGTCAGTGTTCTGTTCTGTTTTTAGTATAATTGAGTCAGTTCAATCTAAACCATTACCAAAAGTGTTGGTTCAGTGCAACATGTGAAACAATTGAAGTGGCCTTTGCGTTTCTGCAGACTGAAACATACCTGTGATTCAGGTAACATGTAAAATTGCACAATGGTAATTACACATGCATTTATAAAATAGAATGCTGTTTATTTATAGGAATATGTAGAAAGGATGTTCCCATGACTGAAGGATAGAAATGTTCTGTTCTAACGTGGCACTCCTTTTGCAACTAGCCCCTAATTGTACATTCAGTTAGTTTGTTCTTGATCTACCTCTGAATCCAGAGCAGAAAACATGCCAATGATTGGTTCAGTGTGTTTCAATGGACCAATGCTCTGTGTGCTTTTGGTGATGCCTTATTTGTGAACTGATTTTAATGTCAAGCATATTTACCATTATTAGTTGTGTCTCTTATATGGGCAAATTTTGGTATTCTGTTAAGAGTTAATTTGAATTCCTGAACACATAATGTAAATGAAGTAAATTCTTCAGAAAATTTCATTAACATCTTGCAACTCTTTAGTAATGTGTAATTTATTGCAACAAAGGAGTTCCCTGGCACAGGTTAATACCGAGACATAATTAACATATGTTTAAGAATAAATATATTTTTATATCTGTATATATGTATGTATGCATATAATGTATATGTGTGTGTGTATGTAAGAATATATGTGCATGTGTGGTTTTCTGTGTGTGTGTATACATACATGCATATATATAGATATATAAAAGTCATTGATTTTTACAGGAAGCAGGATAGGCCAAAAGAATCTAATGGATTAGCAGCTTTAGCAGCTAATTAGCAGATTTTTCTTTTCATTTTAGCCCAGTAGTATTAATTGTGCCAAGGGAAAAATACATTCTTAGGATTCTTTGCTTTTGTTATGTTCTTTTTTTGATCCAAACACTTGACTGTAAACAGCAATCCTTCCCCATGTCTGCGGTCACCCTATAAGACTGAATGGAAATAAAGAACAATGTATCTTTTGCCCTACTTTTAATGTACAGCCAAAGTGTTATCAATAATCATTGCTTTTTTTTTTTCCTGGGTCAAGACTGTTAACATAAACTAAGGCCTGTATTAAATCCCTTAAATTACCTTCCAGCTGCCTTGTTATATATATAACCTTGCCATTAACCTGCTGCTCTTCCTCTCCTCCCATCCAACACATGGTTATAGCCAAGATGTCCATCTACAAGAGAATGAAACTGGCATGTTGTTTTGATTGCGGACGCTCTGAGCGTGACTGCTCTTGCATGTCAGGCAGTGTACATAGTAACATGGACACCCTTGAGAGAGCCTTCCCACTTTCTTCTGTCTCTGTTAATGATTGCTCCACCAGTTTACGTGCCTGTAAGTTTTAACACCAACACATGCTGTTCCATGTCCGTGGTGTCTGTGGTATCATCCCCGTCTTGTGTCGTACATTGTAGTTTTGTGAGTTTTACTGGGCTGATGCTTTTTAAAAAACTCAACCCCAAATTTTAGTACAGCTCTGTATTTATATTTCTGTTTTAATTTATTTTTAATACAAAAAATGTAATTCATTATTTTGCTTTGTGTGCTCTTTAAGAAGCATGCTCTTGCAGTAGCATTCAGGACCTTAGTAGTGCAGTTTGGTGACAACTATTTTATTTGATTCATACAATGTAAATTGTCATTAATTAAACAATAAGTGCTTCAGTGAAGGAACAGGCCTGTGTCTAAATCTATGACTGATGCTAAGTGGACAGCTTTAATGGTGCTGGCAGTAGAGCAGCATACAATAGGCAGTGAATAAATATACAGGATACAACATAGCAGTGGAACTGTAGTAACTGCAGTTCTATTCTATACTACTACCATTACCTTTAGCTTTGTTTGTAACCCTTAATTCTCAATGATCCAGGACCTTCCATCTAATACTGAAACTGCAGAAATTTTAGTAAACATGGTTGTGTTTTTTGTAGTACCTTTTCAGAACAGCTAGCTTGATGCAAAATTCCTGATGCAAACTTTTTGAAGTTAACTGTAGAATCTGTCACATCGGACAGTACCATTCTGGAATATGCTCCAAAAGCTCTTTTGAAAGATCGGAGTTGAGAAGTTAGAACAATTCTGCGTAGCCATTAATTCCTTGGGCAAGCAGTGGGGGTTCCAGAGCTTATTTTATCAGTGGTGGTGAATTACTTTGCTTTAACTCTTTCGATATTTTAACTATTTTTCAAGACACAAATGTGGAGTATGTAACAGTACTATTTTTATTAGCATTTTTTTTCAGAAGACTGTGTCACTTAAACTGATTCCAATAGGATTTCTTAGAGATTTTACCAGAAATCTTCTCTCTGTATATGCGTGTAAGCACTCTGAATGTCCTTTCTATCTCCTTGGTTGCAACTCATGCATCACCTCAGGGGAGACAATTCCCAGTTTTAAGTCCTATTCTAAGTTACAGGAGTTTTTATCTCTTAAAGAGACCTTTATCGGGGTAAAACATAGCAAAACATATTTTATTAAGAAAAGAGAACAAGAAGCCTTCCTGGATTGAGAATTACTAACAGCCTCAGTAACACAGTAACTGGTATAGTTTGCATTTAATACAGACTGGTACAGAGAGAATGTAATGTGGTTGGGTAGCAGCACTGGTTTTAACAGCAACCAGATCAGGCTAAATGAATATGTCCCCTACAAATGGGTAAAATTTCTGTCATTAGAACTGTTTGGCAAGGGAAGAAAAACTGGAATTTGTAGGTTTACCATAGCTTTCAAGTTCACTTAAGAGTCTACAGAGGCAGATAAAGTAAACAGTTTTGATTGTGTTGCCTGCTGAGACAAAAATCTCCACAATAATGATATCATTGCCACCAAAAACAATACTGTTGGGAAACATGTTAGATCTATGTTAATTTCTGAAGGATAATTGATATTGACAGCTTTGAGGTTTTTTAGCATCCTGTCTTTAAAAGGCCTTTTCCCCCTTCATCACTCCATCAAATCAAAGGAGATCTCCTTCTTTCTCTTGTGAGACTGGTCACTTTTGACTGTTAATAAGTACGAGAATTAATATAAATTCACACTCTTTGCAAAGCAGCATAAGCCGTTCTTTTCCAATTAAAATAAGTATATGTACATATGCAATGTTTCACTGGTAAGGCTTCAACAGAAATCGGTGTGTTTTCTTTGCAGTGCACAGGGGTCATATGATGCCCATCTTGACAGAGCTAGTTAACTCAAAGAATGGTGGAGAGAGTCAGCTTTTCATTCAGTATGAGCAGATGTGAAATGTAGAGTGTTTGACAATTATAAATGGCAGCAGCAGGGCCCCAGAATCAAAGTGAGGTCAGATTGGTGGATCAGATTACCTCTCTTACATTCTTTAGTTGTTCTGAAAATCATTTTAAATTAGTGTCAGTGGAGCCACGATGGGTTTTGCCCTTTGTCTTTTGTGCTAGGACTGTATTGTTTCCCCAGACACTCATTAAAGGTCATTATACTATTACAGGACTTGCTTTGGTCATGGTGCCCCAGTTGGGTTGGTTTGCTTCTACAATTCCTTCAATTCCTTCATGCATTTATTTCTTTCTTTTTTTTTTTTTTTTTTTTTTTACTTTTAGTTCTAAAAGCAGACTTTTTTTCAAGCTACAATGAGTAGCTTTAGTAAGAATTAATGCTGTTTGTAAGAATCTGATGTCAAGCAAAAGATATCAATTTACATATTCACTGATGTATACAGAATTTAGTGTACTAATTGTATAATATGTAGAGAAAATTATATTTGCAGTCTATTTTCCATTGTGAATCAGTTTCTCTGATATTTTATTGTTGCCTGTACTTCCAGCAAATTAAAATCATAATTTGATTAAATATAACTACCTTAAAATAGCTTTTGCGTCTATAGGCAACTGTCTGGGAAAAAAAAAAATGTGTATGACATTTCTAAATGTAAGGAAAGTGAATTTTAAAATCTTTTGTGTGTCTACATTTTTTCAGGATTAGCTGCTTTTGCTAGATTGCTGCATGAACAGCAGTCAAATGGTCCAGGCATTTTTGTACTGGAGACTTAAGTGTATTTAGAGTGAAGAGAGACATGTAGCCACTGAAAAACCTGGGCTGGTTTGTACAATGAAATTATGTTACTGATAAGTGTGATGTTTCTGCTTAGGTCTGTGCCATATCTTGGGGAGTGCCATTCAAATGATTGATTGATACAGACAGAATCTTAACCTGAACCATTTAATTTATCTGTTTCTGTATCACCATGGCTGCTGCATCTCAGGAACATCAAAAGTTCATGTTCCAAAAGGACACCTTTTCTAAACTTGTCACTGTGCCCGCTGTTATTGGAGTCTAAAATTCCGAGGATGTTCTTGATACTAGGCCCAGGCGTATCTAATTCAGGTTGTTAGAAAACATGCTTTGGCATGCTCTGATAGTTCTGAGAAGCTTTATGAGAAGACTTGGACTTTGGTGAATATGAAGGATCTCTGTAGACAAAAGTCAAGACTAATTATTACTATATTTTTAATTCAGGGTTCACTCCAAACTCCTAGCCATCCTATTTGGAAAGAAAGGCCATGCTAAGACAAACTGGACAAAGCTTAGCTTTTGAAAGTAGCCAAAGCATGTACTTACCTGTGTGCCAAGCCCTGTTTAGAACTATATATTCTATCTGGTCTTCTAGTGCCATCATGTGGTTTATGCTGAACAGACGAGTTAGCTGCTGAGTCTTTCTCAGAGGACCTAAAATTGCATTCTGCAAGATTAGATGAACATTTTGGGTAGTTTGAATAAGGACAGCTGTTGAACCAGGATTGGCACACTATGCTGAAGCTGTTTGGCAATGTGGTTTAGCAAATTAGGGCAAGGAACACTCTAGCTGCTTCACTGACCTGTGCTACTTAGGGCAGTGTAGACTCTGCCTGTGTGTCTTTACAACTTAAAAATCCAAATTCTATAAAGAGAGTTGAAATTATGTATCACTGATTTAGGCAGAGAGAAGAATGCGTAACACACACATGTTGGTCAGTGTATCTAAAACTCAGTTGTGTAACTGTACGTGGGCTTTTGTAAATGAGCTGACCATTAAGTCCTGGATTCCGAAATTACTGGCTGAAAAGACAGCGTAGTCTTTATTTCCCTTTGAATGCAAGAACTGTGTCCTCTACTTTCTACAAAAAACTAACAAACAAAACTAACCTACTACTTTTCTAGTCCTGCTGAAGTAGCCAAGACAACACAAAATATTTGCTTTTATGGATGAGCTAAGGTGCAGGAAGGACCTATACGTGCCCTCTCAAAGAACAACTTTGCATGCTAGAATTCTCTTTTTGCCCTTTAGCAGCAATGGTTTCCCTTTTACAGGATACATATACTACCTTGTGCTGGCTAGAGACTTTGAGATTCCCAAGCAAGCTATAAATACGATCCCAATTACATTATAATAATATGAAGAGGAAAGGGTGGGGTACTACCACTGCTCTCTCTCACTAAACACCTGTTTTGAGCTGTGAGAACTCTATTGTGGCCACAGCAGGGATGGAAACTAATTTGCTCTGAAATTCTTACTTTTACATATGCTGCATAAACACCTTTCTCTTTAATATAATCCACTGATTCCTGTGTGCTCACACTGTCTCACCTTTGTCCTGTGCAAAAAGTCAATAACACACCTTTTATGTTTTGAGGAGGAAGAAATTGAAAGAGTGAATAAGTGATCGGGTCTTCTTGGAAAGGAAAGATATGTAGCCCCTCAGGGATGGCATCATCATATCATAAGCAAATAATTGTAATCAGATTGTTATGTTTTTACAGCTCGCTTCTATGGAATGACCCCACCTCTGTATATTGGAGAATGATATAGCATTATCTTGTGTAGCCTGGTTTGTTTTGGGTTTTTTTTGTTTTTTTTAAATGAGATTAATGAAAATGGAACATTAGAATGAGACATAGTGCCAAATAAATTCCTGCTAGTTCAAAGCCACAGAGAATATAAATCATGACCCTGTGTACCACACTGTGGGTAATAGATTCATTTATGTAAACCTAGTTACAAATATTGTTCGTTCTTTTAGGGTGAGAGATTTTTACCTCAGTTACATTAGTTCCCATGTATTTCAGGGTTGTGTTCGTGAGAATTTACATGGCTATGATGTTTCCTCTAAATACCTCTACAATAACACGTGTTCCCTGTCAAAATGCTGAAAAGAATGTAAAAATTGACACCTGTGTATATTTGAGAGTGTTCAGTTTTGCAGATGAAATATTATTTTAGACAACTCAGTTGAGATACAAGTCCAATACAGCTGGAAAAAAGTCAGGTGTATAGGTCTTAATGTAGACTGTGTTGCTGCTGGGTAAAGACGAAAATCAACTTA